AAAAAAAAAAAAAAAAAAAAAAAAAAAAAAAAAAAAAAAAAAAAAAAAAAAAAAAAAAAAAAAAAAAAAAAAAAAAGTAGAGTTGACCATCACTTCTACAGGGCCCTTTAATTTTAGAGGGCCTTAAAAAGGGCATAACTGTAACGAGACAATAGTGAACCAAAGAATTACAGTCCCAGTGTACAATAAAAAATTACATTTTAAAATTTTGAAGGTCTCTACCAATTTCAATATATTTTTGGGCAAATAGCACTGAGCCATTAAATTGTAGCGCTAATGGAACCGATTTCCTATACTCATATCAATCTCCAACCATCTATATCAGCAAAATGCTACACTGCATGGTACAAATTATGCACCTAGAACTTGTGATTAGACATCAACTGTCCAGAATTCCACAATGAATCCAGAAAGGCCCAATACATTACAACCTATGAAAACTGAACACTATTAACCTAGAGTTACTGGGATTGAATGGCCAGATGAGAACCAAGAGAATCTAGCAAATATTTCTGACTAAATTCACCCATACTATATATACTTTGACTTGTCAAAAGTCCTTGTAAAAACTACTTTTGTCTGTAGGACAAGAATGATATTCCTATTACTTAGGAGCAGATACAGATTCTGAAATTTGGATTCTATGCCACCAGCTAAAGAGGATGCTGTGTAGACAAACTTAGTACATAATTTCCAATTGATTTATTACCAAGATCCTGAAGAACCACCAAATTAAAAATGTTAAGATTACAAACATGATAGAAAAATACATGCTAACAATACAGGGGAGAGAGCTCTGAAAGTACTTGCAAATGACAATGGTAAGAAATCAAATTTGGTTATGAAACATTCAAGCTAAAGGACCAAAAGATATTTACCTCTACACTTACAGCAAAAACGTTGGTTGCTTCGTCAAATGTCTTTTTTTCCTCTGCTACTTGTAAAAGCGTCTTTAAAAATGTCTTTTTTATTGAATGATTGATTTCCAATGTTGCTGAAGTGCTATACTAAGAGGAATTTCTTCATTCATAAATTCAATTTATAAAGGGCAACATTGTGAGGGCAAATAAAGCACTACTGAAGAGTCAGAATAATTTGTGAAAAATACATCACAAAATTTTGCATTTAGACATGTGAAAAATATGGGCAATAAGATACTACTTAACATTGCCAAAAATTCATGACTCCCCTCGCCAATCCCTACCCCCAAGAAAAAGTACCCAGGTACTAAACTTATGGAAATACATGTCATTGAATAGTTCCTTTAAAACCTTTAATATCAGCTGGAAAGAACTGAGGAATCCTAATTAAGCTGAAAAATACACAAGAAATGTGCACATAATGCACTCTCTAAAGGGGCAACAGAGTGGACAGACAGTCAAGGAACTCCACATATTCAGTGCTATTTGCAAGCCTGTAAGCAGCATCTACAAATAAAAAGTAGCTGGCTGAAGTTATAGGCTGATATTACACATTAGTAACACAACGTGATCACACAAATTTGGCAAAAATCTAAGGAAGTTTGAGGTGAATCGATTTGACAAAATGGATGTAAAACATGTCAGATAACAAAGGCTACATTAGGGACTACAGATTTGCACATCAGTGGTTCACCATTTCAAAAACAAGTACCAAATCTTTAATTTTATTGAGCAAATTGTACCAAATATCAATTGGCACAGAATGGAAACATCCCCACTAGGTAACTTCAGTTGGCAAATGTAATTAGACATTGCACCAAAACAACAAAAACAAAACCAAAAACAAACAAAAAAACCCTAAACACAATTCGCCTATCACTATGTATATGTAAGCAAGCATGAACAATATCTCTAACAATTAATCTTGTTCCCCATTTTGTCCTGAGAAACCAAAATTGGAATTTCAATTATACACAGATTAAAATACTCCATTTGCTGAGTTTCACTGCTAATTGGATGTTACATCCAATTTGAAAAACCAGGGCAGGTGCCATGGCTCATCCCTGTAGTCTCAGCACTTTGAGGAGCCCAGGTGGTAAGATAGCTTGTGCGCAGGAATTTAAGACCATCCTGGGCAACGTAGCAAGAAAACCTTGTCTCCACACAAAATATAAAAAGTAATCAGGGAAGCCAGAAAATAGGGTAGCACTTTTTTATCCTACTTCGGGACAGCAATAATCTGGGAGTGGATGTTGACAATGCAACTGCAAAGCAGCATATATCAACATGTATAAAAGAGGCAAGGATTTTTTTTTTTTTTTAAGACAGTCTCACTGTGTTGCCCAGGTTGGAGTGCACTGGCACGATCTCGGCTCACTGCAACCATCACTTCCCAGGTTCAAGCAATTCTCCTCCTTCAGCCTCCCAAGTAGCTAGGACTACAGGCAATGGCCACCATGCCCAGGTTTGTTTTTTTTTTTTTTTTTTTTTTTTTTTAAGTAGAGATGGGGTTTCACTATGTTGGACAGGCTGGTGTTGAACTCCTGACCTCATGATCTGCCCTTCCTAGCCTCTCAAAGTGCTGGGATTACAGGTGTGAGCCACCACGCCTGGCTGCAGATGGACGATTTCAAAGGGTTCTGGCATTAGCTTCTCTTCAAGAAGCCAAAGTATTACTAAGGCATTCATTAAAAACGGCTAAGGGAAGTTATATTACTAATTTTGGGTTTCAGTCTGTTAAACCTTAGTTTTATGAAACTGTGTCCTAGGAAGTATGTTTGAAATTAGTTAAGTGGATACTAATAACATTAGGTCCCTTAACCCAGTAGTGGTTAACTCGGAATATATAACCCCGTCTACCAAGTAAATGGTTCAGAACCACAGCAGAAAAACCCCAGTTGACTAAGAAGCGCAAAAAAAAAAAAAAAAAAAAAAAAAAAAAAAAAAAAAAAAAGCTAACAGCTTCATGCCCACTTGGAAGATGACGGTCCTTGAAGCTATCATCTTGCCAGTGGGTGGAGATTCTATTGTACAGATATGGTTCCCATAGAGCAGGGATACTATGGTGCCAGACAAAACTTTATCAGCATCTTTCCAGAGAGCAAGTAATTTGAAGATAGGCACTAATACCATAAAGAACTCCACCTTTTTAGGATTCAGGAACCGTTATGTATTGGTTGTGATAGTATACTACCATCTAAAATTTTCCTGCTTAGTTCAATCTAGGTGATACTTCATTAATGCTGTAATTCTGATTTCTTATTACCAGTTGATATAGGAGACATTTCACAATATACTGACAGGTTGTTGAAAGCCCCTTTCTATGGATAGAAGTTATGATAAGCTATATAGAGACCTATGCGTTTCCAGATTAAATGCTTTAGTCCAGTGTAGGGAGGAATCAATGAAAGTGAACTAACCTTAACTTCCAACGATGAAAAATCTTCTGTGCTGCAACATGAGGTTCCTTAACATCACTGAAATGGTGAACCAGAGAAATGTATCCACGAATCCCACCCATACTCCAAGGACACAGAAAAAAGTATTTATTCCCCCCCTTGTGGAAAGTGTACAGTTTGTAGTTCCCTCATGCATAAAATCCAAAGTATTTTGCTTTAAAATGCTATTTTGTGTGCTGGATCTAAATCTGAAGATGAGTTAAGCTGGTTATATATTCATATTATGATATAAATTATATTGTATATATATATTCATAAGCTGTCAGTATGTTACTCTTAAAGCTTAAAATAAGCCAAATCATTCTTTTCTTGACTACTTTTAACATGTAGTTGATGCTAGGATTTGAACCAGTAAGTGCAAAGAAAGCTTTCAGGGCCCTAAAAACTAAGTACAATAAGCACCTCATAAAAAGGACAGATAATGCAATATAGAGTACTCAATGCAAGGTGCACTGGCCAATTCAGCTGGCAGTGATCCAAGATTACCTTTCTCAATGTCTGTTGGCATCACAGAGCTCCTTTGGCTACGTGTACCACAAGCAAAAGGCACTACAACCATCAGGCTCATTCCTCCTCCCGATGAAAGCACTGGTATTCTTTGTTGTCTTCATTGAAAACCTTTTGCAGACATTCTTGAGGTTGATACCCAAAACCATCCTTCTGGGTCAAAATCATATCACTACATGCTTTACTACCTGCTCTGGTCCTAACATAAGGTATGGAATCTGTTAAATCGTTTTGGAGTCCCATCCAAGATCTCCTAACTCTGAGTAGCACACGTAGTTAAAAAATAGAATGCAGTGAGTCCCTAAGATGAACATGAAGAGCTTAGCATAGCCGTATCTGTCTCAGCAGTCTTCTGATCCTGTCAAGCAGAAGTTGGTGAAAAGCACAGCTAACCCAAAGCTAACACTTTTAGCCCCATCCCAAGGAACCCATGGAATTTCATAAATACGTATTATTAGGTCACCAAGGGCTTTGCCTACATGTTGCAGTGTTCCCTGGGGAACAAATATACAGTGCTGGTTCCTATCATCTTGTCAAGGCATTCTCATCACTTTTGAAGAACACTGGTTTCCTGTATCAGGTGAATATAGTTCCAGGATCAATAGAACTTCTCAGTAAGTTAACTTTTCTTAACTGTACCTTCAAGCGTAAAACATGGAATATAGGAAATGCTTAAAGCCAACTTGCTGAACCAGATGACTTCTAATGTCTGTAGCTGTGTTTGCTGCTTAAATGTCCTGTACTTACCAAACACTAAGATTACTTGGAACATGTGAAATCCACAAGAAATCTTTAGAAATATACATAGCTCAATCCCCATTTTAGCCCCTCTGCCTCTCTCCCATCAATCCAAAAACTGAATAGAATAATAAGTACTCAGAAAACACTGACAGGACACAGGCTGGCCCATCAACCCCAACATGGCACTAGAAGCCAGGGAAGGGCAGGGAGGAAACCTGAATGTAATGGTGGCATTACAAGTTGGTACTTCTATATAAAGATAGTCCATAAACTTCATTTTCAACATACTGAGCAGGTTGAAAGTGAAATAGTAAAGCTGCAAAGTAGTAATATTTTTCAGTCACTGCTAATAATCACAATGGTTGCTTGTCAGGGCTTGGTAGTAGAGCTTCAGCCATTACTGACTTTTAGGGCACATGATCAGTTACAAATCACTGTCCCCTGATTCTTACAGGATATGCACCCTTCCCTCCATCCTGCCCCAAACGCCTTCTCTGATGCTCCCCATCACGCAGACACCACAGCCCCACATCACAAGAAACCATCCGTTCTATATAGTTCTTATGGCCTAAACCAACTGGTCCCTCACACAGTGTTTGAATTCACCCAGAGCATGAACAATTGCTAACCCTCAAAATACATGAAACCAGCAAAAGGGGGTAAAAGTAGGGCTATGACTCGTAACGAGATGGGGGCAGACTTGGGGGTGATGTGATCACATTTCTTCTCGGACTGATGATCAATTTCTTCAAAGCATTATGCAGTTTTTTCCTTCTTTGAAACAGACTCTAGGTGGACCCTCCATCCCTTCCCCTCTTTCCCTCCTCTCCCAAACCCTCAGGAATAAAATTCCTAATAACATCAACAATTATATTACAGGAAATGTTTACTAGTTATACACTATCCCACTCTTACTTTTTATTTCCCTTTTGTTATATAATAAATGAGAAGCCAAGACCCTAAAACGTCTTAAACTCCAAAAACAAAGTACTCGAAGGGGCACGTGCAGTTGGTTTGAGTTTTCAATCTAGCCTGGGGAAGTACAGACAAGCCACCCCACATCCAATCCCATATCTCAATGTTCAAACCTAAAAATTGATGGGTATAATCAGAGTAATGAAGTAGTCATCTATTAAGCTCTAGTATTTTATAGATTATGGACTTGTATTTCACCTTTCAAACCACATGTCCCTTACCTTAAGGCTCTGGAGAGGTACTGTCAAACTCAAAACAACTCTGGCAGTAGCAGCAGCCCCAAAGGACTTGGATCAATATTTTGAAGATGAAGGTCTTCCAAATAAGCAGCAGGTTGTCCATCATGAAAAAGTCTAATGCCAAATGAGTTCTTCTTCTACCGTCCTGCCCTCAGGACATGAGGATATCATTTAAAGTTTGATATAAGGCAACATGAGGCATCCAATGCCCGAGTAAAAGGGAATATAACCCCTGATATTTAAGAATGCACTGGGGCCAGGGTAAAACAAAGTGACTTCTTGGACAGGGTAACTTAATTCTATAGGCAATATGAAAATTAAGAGGTCATTGGTGATATGGAAAAAGGCTAAAGGTAAATAGGGGAAAGCTACAAAGGGCTCCCTAAATCACTCGTGATCACCTGCTTAGTAAGTCATATACTTACTAAGTATATGCTTCTGCTAGGCAACTATTGGGAAATTTATCCATACTTCTCATTCTTTAATATGTGTTAGTATATACTAAACAATTCAAAGCTTTCTTTGAACTATAAGATGCCATGAATTAAGCCTTCAAATTTAAATTGGAACTGGAAGGGATTCTGATCCTGTTAAAATTATTTTCTCTCCAATTACATTTATCTGTACAATGTACATTAATAATTAATTTATTAGAGGATTAATATCAATAATTAACTTGTTAGAGGATCCAGGAAACAATATCTGTAAGGCCCAGCGCAGCTCATAATAAATAGGAATGCCGACGTAAGATGTTCAGTTTTGGAAGAGTAAAGCTATGCTTTCTTTAAAATCAAACAATTGCACAATACATTATAGCCTACAACTTACTCTGTAGTTCAAATAAACACTTTCTCCCATTACAGAAAGACAGCCCTCCTCCCAGCAACATTCCAGACTGGATAGATTGATTCTTCACCTGACATAACTCCAAAATTCTCATTGAACAAGACAGGAAGTCAAATTGAGGCTGAAGACCTCAAAGTATAGGGGACTAAACCTGCAAAGTAGTATCTGTAGCAAAATAGTTGACCTGATGGGAGGTTGGCTCCCAAGAATCTTTCTGTCCTCGTAGCCAGATAAAGTAATCAAAGGGTAATCCTCTACTTGGAAGCCAGAGCCAGTGTAGTACTTAGGAACAAGTCTCATGTTAAACGGCTTCTTCCATGGAGTGTGGTTAATGTGCAAAAACATGACTATAATAAGGTTGTTAGAACAGACTCACCATAACAGGAAACACCAGAGAGGTCAAGGGTATCTAGGAAAGTCCAAACATGATGATGTAATACAAATAGAGCAATTAAGAGGTTACATTCTTGCATTATAAGAAATGAGGTTTCAAAGAGAAAGTCTAGAATTTACTGGCTGGCCATTCTTGTCCAGTTCTGAACTTCTATTGGTTTGATGACCTCTTTGAAATGCATTAAAAATAACATTAACATTAGTGTTGGTGAGATGAGTATATCAATTAGAAGAACCTGTAGGTTTGGCTATCCCTAAAACAAGTCAACCTTAGGAAGAAGTGTACTTTAAAAAGAAAA